ACTCTTTGGTGTCGGTAAGCTTTCTTTTTTATGTTTTTAAAAGAAGCCTCTTATGCTCACAAAGGCTGCATTTATTTGATCAAAAATACAGTAAAAACAATATTGTGAAATATTATTACAATTCAAAACAACGCTGTCAGTATATTTTAGTATTTTTTTTTAAATATACTATTTTAGCCTATTTTAAAATGTAATTTATTCCAGTGCTGGCAAAACTCAATGGTGCTCAAGAAACATTTCTTATTATAAATGTTTTAAAAAAAAAAGTTTTTTTTTTTCATTTTTGTGGAAGCCATGGATTATTTGAAATAGTAATTGTTTCAAACATTACAAATGTCTTTACTGACACTTTAATCTTGATCAATTTAATGCATTCTTTCTGAATAAAGTATTAACTCCAAACTTTTTGAACAGTAGTGTATATACTGTATAAAGTATCTATTGCCATCATGCATTCAAATTACTGCATCTGTTTACTTTTGCAAAAATATCCAGCAAGACAATTAAAGGAGTAGTTCAAACAAAAATAAACTCACCATGATTTCCCATCATTTACTAAAACTTATGTCATTCCAAACCTGCAGGCTTTTCTCTCCTCTGCATGTGGAACACAAAACAAGATTACACTCATATGTATGTAATACAAGTAATGACATCTAATGGGAGTGTTACAGAACATTACATCATATGTCTTTCCTAGTAAATGATTGTAAATGTAGTAGTACTACTACTGTTTTCTTATACTCTCTGTGAGTTATATGAAAGCCTATTAAATAGAGAGAAAAACAATGCCCCCGTCTCCCCTACATTTCTCATTGACTGTGAAACACCTTAAACAGAGGAACCTGAAACAACAGTATTAAATGCAATAAAGTGGAACATGTTGAATTAAATGAAAGAGTTAAAGTCGGACAAAAAAAAAAAAATCAAAAAAAAAAAATCAAGTTGCCCTTTGATTGAAAAAGCATACAGAAGTAAGTCCTTAATACAAGCAGCGCTAATAGAGGGTCTTATTTGAAACCAGCTCTTTAAACTAGTTTGAATATGGTTTTGACATTTTAGAGAATAATTAAATAATCATTTAGTTTTAATTCTCCAGTTCACAGAGGAAGTCAGCTGAAAGCTCTGTTATTCTCTTTCAGAGGCATAGGTCAAATTTGAGAGATATCGCACGGACCACCACATTCCCAGTGCTATTAAAAATCTATTTAGTACATTACAGCGGACCATGTGATCATCCGGTCCTCTCTGTTCAGTTACTTCAGAAGCTTCTTTTATAGCGTCCAATGACTGTTGGATAACTGGCCAAGGGGGTTCAGGGAATCACTTGTTACGTCGAAAGTCTCATTTATAGCCTGTACTTTAATGCATGCTTGACCTTCTGCTATGCAGCCAATCAAAAATATAAGTACATTCTGAAAGGTTGCAGATAATCCCCCATCACGTCCTGTTCCACTTATACAGCACAGATACTGTAATACAGGACAGTATTACAACATTAGATGAAGCTAGGTTTTTTATTTTTAAATCACTGGCCATTTCAAAAACAGGTACCTGACATTCCTTTTAACGTCAATAAATTCTTCCTTTAAAACTCAATGACAGCCTGTTATTTATTCTGGCACAGTCAAAGTATTTCTTCAAATCTACAGGAAAACCATCACTCTTCTTTTTGTACCATTCAAAAGTGTGAAGTTATGTAAAGTTATGTAATGTAAGTACAGTAATGGCATCCTTCTGCAAGTTTATTTTCTTTTTTCAAATGTGAATAATTCATTTTCGGGTAATCTTTCTGTAGAAAGAGCCTGACCATGTTACCCAGTTCTTCATTTATAACACTTAAACCCATATCAACCTTTACCGGATGGTCAGTACAAGGATGTCATTTCAGCCCTTTAGTTATGATCAGTAGTGACATAAAATAAATACTCAGCTGCTGTCATTGTATATGTTGAATATGATCATGTTGAAAGTGTCAAAAGCTTCCACAGATTGCTTGTGCTGTTCAATGCAAGTGAAATTTTTTTCCAAGGATCTACGGGTACAATGCTGTTTGGAGTCAAAAAAATATATATTTTGTTGTTTTTGAAAAAAAAAAAACACATCTTATGCTTACCAAAGCTATTTGATCAAAAATACAGTAAAAACAATAATACTGTGGAAATATTAACAGTTTAAAATGACTTCAGTGATGGCAAAGCTAAATTTTCAGCAGTATTCAGCGTCACATGATCCTTCAGAAATAATTTTAATATGTTGAAAAAAGTTGTGATGCTTAATATTTCTTTGGAAATTGTGATACTCATTTTCTTGAGGATTCTCTGATGAACAATAACTTAAAAATGTATTTGAAATAGAACATTGCACATTTATTTACGGTCACATTTGACCCATTGAATGTGCGCTTGCTGAATGCATGTATCCATTTCTAAAAAAAAAATCGTATTGACCCCAAAATTCTGAATGGTAGTCACACACATGCAACAATTTAACATTAATCAATAGAAAACTGAGCGCTTCTTCCACCATGGCTTCTACTAGCCCTGTGACATTCCCGAAACTAAAATCTCACTAGTTTATTTAATAATGTCCAACAATGGACATTAAAATAGACATGGATCACAGATGAAACATCATGATTATTTCAACCACAATAGCTTTTCCACCACATCTCAAATCACGTAGCAGGTTCGATAGCATTCAGCAGTGATTGTTAAAACACATCTGACTCTTGACTTCCCTTGTCAAGCCTATAAGCATTTTACAGTATGAATAAATACATTAATATTTTCATACTTGTATAATTTGATAAACCGATGCAAAATAAAAATATTATTTTCACAGTGACCTTAAAATGCGCAAAGCTGAACTCAAACGTCATTCCCCCAGAACTGCTTCCAGTGTACAACAGTGAGCGCAAGCAACATTAAAGTGATTATTACGTTTTGAATATGGATATTTTTCTTACAAAAACGCATCGATTCGCTACAGAAGGCCTTTGTTCACCCCCCGGAGCCGTGTGAGAGACTTTTTTTTTTATGGATGGGGGTTTTTTTTTTAACTTGTTTTGGACTGATGCATGCAACACCCACTGAGTGCCATTAAACAGCTTGAAAGATCAAAAAACATTTTTAATATAACTCCGACTTGATTCGTCTGAAAGAAGAAAGAACCTTTAAAATGTTTGGGATCAGTAAGAATTTATTTTTTGAAAGAAATTAATATTTTTATTCAGCAATGATGCATTAAATTTAGCAAAACTGAAATGCATAACCAACTACAACCACTAACCAACATAAATGTATGTATATATATATTTTGTGCACATGTACATTTCTTGATGCCAGAGCCCGCAGTGTTCATGCAGACAAAAAATAGCCGGAGGGATATTTCTGCACTGCCTTTGTGTGAAGACTGAAATTACATACAAAAATAGATGACCTGACATTTTCTAGTAGGCTCCATAAATTTCGGCAACTGGTAATGCACTATATCGGTGGTAGGCGGTGATGTCAATCTTTATTGTCTGGAACTGTTCTAGTGTGAATGAAACATGCATGCTGAAGTCAAAGGGAAATGTGAAAAGCAATTTGCACAAGTTAAACTGTAAAATTAATCCAACCTACAACAAGCAATTTAATCAAGTAGATAAATAGGCAATATCATATACAAATAAAATGACCAAATTGATCTTATATGATTACTATACTAAAGGGACAAGTTTGCAGAAGATACCTTACTGAAAGTCTGACCAAATGACACTCACTCAATATTTGCTCAAAGAATATTGCGCCTTACAGCTGTTGAAGAAACCCTGACATTATCCACAACATGATAAACTGTGAAGCACAACTCTGATCAGCAATGGCAACATTCATCAATAATAAATATCTCACCAAGGGCTGCAAGAAAAGACACAATCCGACACGTTAATTTTCACAGTGCGAGTCTCAGTTTTGACATCTAACGGTGATAATTTCACCTGCAATTTCCAACCTAAAAAGTGCCAATGCAATTAATATTGTGCATTTAAACATGGAGAGCAACATTTACTTGTCTATACACAAGATGTTTGGATTGCATTAGTAGATATTATCCAGGACTAAATTCTGGAACTTACAGTCCAGCACTTAAAGCCAGTTTTCCTCAAACCATCAAGTTAGCCCTTAAAAAGCTTTCGCCTGACAGCTTTCTTCAGACCAGCATTGGAACTGTTCAAAAGACTAATTAAATTAGCTTCAACTCAGTCCAATAGCAGTAGGACTGTACTTCAGTAACAGGAACAGCAGCACAGACACTAATTAAGATTAAGCAAAAGACCTTCCTCGCTTAAGAATCACCATTCAAGGTATTTAAAGGAATAGTTCACCAAAAAAAAAAAAAAAGGAAATTTGCTGAAAATGTACTCATCCTCATGCCATGATGAAGACGAGTTCGATTCTTCAACTGAACAGATTTGAAGAAATTCAGCATTATGTCACTTTCTCACCAATGGATCCTCTGCAGTGAATGGGTGCCAAACAGCCAAACATCACAAGAATCCACAAGCAATCCACAGGACTTCAGTCCAGATTAGATGACATCTTCTTGTGAAGCGAAAAGCTGCACGTTTGTAAGAAACAAATCCATCATTAAGATGTTTTAACTTTCGACTGTCACTTCTGCCACTTCTCCAATGAAAAAAGTCAATCCCCTCTTGTTCTCTCACATCAAAAATTCACCAAAATATTTGTTTAGAACTGTTTTGGACTGTTTTCACTTGTAAGCGAGAAAGAAATTATATGGATAGAGGACTCATATTTTAGCCAGAAGCCGTTTAAAGTTAAAAATGTCTCTATGGATTTTTTTTTTTTGCTTCACAAGATGTTAATTGATGGACTGGAGTGTTTTTTTCAGCTGTTTGGACTCTCATTCTGACGGCACCCATTCACTGCAAGAGGATCCATTGGTGAGCACGTGATGTAATGCTACATTTCTGCAAGTCTGTTTAGACAAGCTCATCTACATCTTGGATGGCCATGAGGGCAAGTAATTATTTTTAGCACATTTTTGTGTAAACTAGTCCTTTAAAATGAAGAGTTCACTTCAAAATTAAAATTCTGTTTACTCCCCTACTTCACAGCTCAAGTGGTGAACAAAATCTCTTCGTGCTTACTTGACAGTACAGTAATTCAAATCAGTAACAATACATATTTTATATATAATAGATATATATAATAGTTAGTTTTTCTTCTGCTTGATGTTTTCCCCTTTTCTATAAACAATACCCTACCAGTATATGCCAAGTCCTTGCAATGAATGACCTAAAGGATAAAATGGAACAAAAATAAATAAGATACATTCTTTTACAGACAGGAGTGTTGTTTCAGTAAGGTCACATTGTGGCACAAAAAAAGGAAGCTCATTGCGTAATTTCTTCCTCATCTTTTTCCCTTTATATTATTTTGTTCAGTCACTACTTTCCAGCATCTCTTAATCGACAAGCCACAGCCGTGATGAGGGCAGCACCTTTTCCGCTGCCATCTTCTGATTGGATGAGAGTAACCTCACAGTTGGGCGTCAGGTCTCTTAAGGTCTCCCGCATAATGGTAGCAAAGCTGAGGAGACAAAAGAGGAGAGCCAGTATGGATGAACAACAGGACTTACTATATTTCAGCTTTATTTATATAAAAAAAAAAGAAAAAAAAAAAAAGATTTTTGATAGCTTTCTTTCCAGGTAATAATAACAACACAGAACTCAATCTAATAGCCTGACAAGCCGTTTTCTTTTTCATGTTGACTTATTTCCTATTGAAAAAGTTGTTGAGGCAGAATATACCAAATAGCTTATCCCTTTTTTAATAGCCAATAGTCTTTAATTTGTTCTTTGTTCCAACAGACTAAAAGTGTGAATAAAGCTGAAACGGCCAAATCAGGGTATATGCTTGGCTTCCTTTCGCTAAAGTGAAAATCGAAACTCATCTCAAACTCCCTTTATTTCAAAGGAGAGTAGAAGTGTTTTTTTTTTTCTGTTAAGTGGTTGAAGAAAAAAAAAGTCCCACTACGAGCCTTTGCATGATACATTTTCACATCAAATGTGTGCCAAACTTTTGCTACCATATTCAATACTGTTTTTTCAGCATAAAACACTGTCATTTTTGATTCATAAAATGACTCTTTTCAAAAGTGACTCTCAGTAAGGTAGGCGGGGGGCTTCTGAAAACAAACAGGACTTACTATATTTCAGCTTTATTTATATAAAAAAAAAATAATAAAAAAAGATTTTTGATAGCTTTATTTCCAGGTAATAATAACAACACAGAACTCAATCTAATAGCCTGACAAGCCGTTTTCTTTTTCATGTTGACTTATTTCCTATTGAAAAAGTTGTTGAGGCAGAATATACCAAATAGCTTATCCCTTTTTTAATAGCCAATAGTCTTTCATTTGTTCTTTGTTCCAACAGACTAAAAGTGTGAATAAAGCTGAAACGGCCAAATCAGGGTATATGCTTGGCTTCCTTTCGTTAAAGTGAAAATCGAAACTCATCTCAAACTCCCTTTATTTCAAAGGAGAGTAGAAGTGTTTTTTTTTTCTGTTAAGTGGTTGAAGAAAAAAAAAAAGTCCCACTACGAGCCTTTGCATGATACATTTTCACATCAAATGTGTGCCAAACTTTTGCTACCATATTCAATACTGTTTTTTCAGCATAAAACACTGTCATTTTTGATTCATAAAATGACTCTTTTCAAAAGTGACTCTCAGTAAGGTAGGCGGGGGGCTTCTGAAAACAATGCTTAAAAGCACAACATGTTCCTCCAGGGAGGTTTTTTAAGGGTTGTTTGAGTGACAGCTTGACAGTATACGGTCACTGACACTTTCATCAAACTGTTAGATAAACTCAGTCTGTATATGGAAAAATGCTATTCTACCAACTTAAGCATCATCAACCTGGTTCACACTAGCTAGGATAAACTGGCTTTGATAAGTACAGAGAAACTACAAGATAACACATGATTAAAAAAATGTAATATAATAATACTTAAAAATTAATTAAATTAAAATTAGTGTTATGACTACAGAAAACAGAGAAACCAGGGGGAAAAAAGCCTGTGGTGCTCCATTCAACACCCATAATGATGATCATAGTGATTTCAAACTATGCTGCACTTTATCTATCTGCCCACTGTCATATTCATGTCATTTTTACTGTGTGCTGCATGTAGAATGAGTGTTACCTTGGCTTTATTTGAAAAAAATATGATTCCCAATGCACACAAACTTCCCAGATTACTGAGTGCCCTGTTTATAATAGGATTACAGAATCAAGAAGTTGTCATCTAAAGTATAAGAATGTTTATTTTACACATGTATTTTTTTACATTAATTTTCAAATTATTTAAAATGTCTTATATATATTTACACAGGCTGTCAAAACACCAATATCGATCGACCACTAGGTAAGTTGTAGAAAGAGTACACACTGTTTAATTGCATGTACTGCTAGCTTTGTAACAATAAAAAGCTGGTTGAAAATCAGCAAATCTGCTTTAAGAACAGCAGTTTTATCTGAGTAAGTAACATGTTCTACTGTTTAAAAGTTTGGGGTTGGAAACGTTTTTTTTTTTTAATGTTTCTAAAATGTCTCTTATGCTCACTAAGGCTGCATTTATTTGATTAAAAAAATACAGTAAAAACAGTAAAATTGTGAAAAATGATTACAATTTAAAACTTTCAACAAATTTTCAATTTGAATATATTTTAAAATGTAATTAATTCCTGTGATGGTAAAGCTGAATTTTTTTCAGCATCATTATTCCAGTCTTCAGTGTCACATGATCCTTCAGAAATCATTCTAGTATGCTGATTTGCTGCTCAATTAAACGTATCAATTAAATTATTTAATTATGTTGAAAACTGGATTTTTTTCAGGTTTTTAAAAAGGTCAATAGAACAGCATTTATTTGAAAAGAAATCTTTTGTAATCTTATCAAATTTATTTAATGTCACTTTAATCAATGTTTTTGTCAAATAAAAGTATAAATTTTCTCTTTAAAAAATGGACTGACCCTTAACTTCTGAACTGTAGAATGACTTTTTTCTATTAAACTAAAAATTGGAGTTTGTAAAAAACAAAATCTAAATAGAACCTATAATTGTGCACAACTATTTTTATCTTGGAAGAGAGAGTGCCTAGATGAGAGATCAAGCGTCTATGACAGCTTTGCTAGAAAGCGGTACTCTGTGAGAAATATTGCTATATACAAGCAGCCTTTTTCAGCAAATGTAAAGGGATCATTGATTTTTAAAGATTAATCCGTTTTTACGGAGACTCAGGTGAAAATACTATAGGCAATCTAGGAGCATATAATTTATGGCTCAGATTTAACAAATACATTAACAAAGCGTCATGGGTACAGATAATTGTACACTGTCATGTCATGTCAGGCTATTGTGGCACAATTTTTCTTCCCTGTCATTAGCTAATTTTTTTCCTCCTCTCACAAAAGCCCACATGCTACATGTAGAATGACAACCTATAGTTTGAAAACCACTAATTTAACCAAATCTCAATTATCAGTGGCAAGTATTATCTGCAAAAGAGATTCACGGTCTCGTTTTCGCTCTTATCCCAGCATCCTGCTGAGACGCTACTCACTGTGGGTGAAGTTTGTAGAGCGTGCCGTCCACTCCTACGGTGATGCTGAGTTTCTCAAGGCCACGGTTCAGTCGTATCTTGTCAACCACAGCCGACAGACCGGCTCCGCACAACTGGGCTGCTCGTTTGGACACTACGCTGCAAACTTCCTTCACAAGGATACTGTCGTCACACGTACTGCTGGTCAAACCCAGGTGCTGCAGGATGGAACGAACTTGCCTCAGAGCCAAACGATCGCTGCAAGAAAGAGCCCGATTGATTATGTTGACTAATAATTAATAGTCACAGAACAAACTGTATAGCATATCTCCTCCTACAATTTTAACTAAATCAAGGGTTAAAAAAAACACTATGGCTGCATTTCTTCCCCAAAGGACACAGATGGAATATAAATAGCATAGATATGCAAAAACATGCCAAATCCAGCCAAAGTTTATGGGTGGTCCTTGGTTGGAATATTACCTTATGATTGAACAAAAGAAAATAACACAAATCTAATTAAATGTGCCAAGATGCCTTAGGCTTATCGAATAATATTGGACATAATTAGTGTGCTTAGCATTTAAATATCATCTGAAAGAAAGCAGAAGGCCCCTGAGGCTCAGATACCAATGTTACCAGAAGCCAATGTCTGGTGATGGATTCTTCTCACACACACACCTCTCAATCTGCGACAGGAACTTGGTTTCGAAGATGCCGCGAGTTTTCAGTCTCTCTGAAAGTTTGCCACGGAAAAGCAGGCCTTTGGCAGTGAAGTCCAAGAGGACATTTCTGACGATCTCGCCAAGATACATCCCGCTGATCATCTTCTCATACCTGAAAAGTGACAGAAAGAAATAAGGAAATTAATCATCGTCCCTCAATAATGCATGAGTAAAAAGTACACACTTTTGAGACCATCCTGGGACTTATGGGCATACTCTTTTCAACATACTATGATTTGGGACACACTTATTCTAATCTCACACACTATTTAGGATGGATAGTATGAACATTGGGACGCAGGGCTTGATTAGCTGGCTCGGATGTGTTTGATTAAGGTTGAAGCGGAACTCTGCAGTATGGTAGCTCTCCAGGAGCAGGGTTGAAGACCCCTGTTAAAGATATTTGTTGATACAGCATTTTACTACAAAACTCAAAATAGCCGACACCCAAAAAGGCATAGAAAAATTTAGTATCGTTTGATTCGGTATGCCGTTACGAATCTAACGAGCTCAATTTTTTTTATTTTTGGCCAAACTGCTCAGCAGTTCTAAGCTGAAATGTCAATTTTTTATATATTTTGACCAGTAGGTGGCGAAAACTACTCCGGTCATGCTTGTTATAACAAATAACAAGTTTAGTCAAAATCCACTAAAGCGGAGATATAGCCTCATGTCCATTTTTTTTCACTAACTTTGTCAAATTCGTTAACGCAGTTTAAGAAAACAGCTTGGTATATCAAAAAGCTTTTGATAACTTTTTGCCAGAATGCTCTGAAGATGATCTGAGCCAATTTTGGTGAAAAGTTCGAAGGACTAGTACAGAACAGTAGTGTAGTGTGTATAAAAAAAACTGTTGTGAAGTATGCTTCAAACAAAAGGGATCTCAGAACACCTAACCAGGATGCTCCTGCTGTCCAAAAATGTGTGATGTTCACCTAGATTTTTCACAGCACTACTAGCAACAACACTGTGTGTGTGCAAAAAAAGGAATAGCAAATCAACATCAAATCACATCCCTATCATAATGTATGGTGGTAGAGGCCATCATGGTTTGTAGCTGTTGGCTGCCTCGGGGCCTGACAGCTTGCTATCGTCAATGGGAAAATTCTGAGTTTATCAGGACATTTGGCAGGTGAATGCAAGGCCATCTGTCTGCCAAATGAATCTCAACAGAAGCTGAATGATGCAACAGGACAACAAACCAAAGCTCATGAGTAAATCAACAACAGAATGGCTTCAACAGATGAAAATACACCTCCTGGCATGGTCCAGTCACTCCAGAGTCCTGACCTCAAGCTGACTGAGATGCTTTGGCATGATCTCAAAACTGCATTCAGACCACACATCCCAAGATTACTGCTCAATGAGCAGTATGAGTTTTGTAGAACTCAATGAGTTTTGTAAAGAGGAACAGGGCAAAATTCCTCCTGACTGCTGTGTAGATCTGATCTGCTCTTACAGGAAACATTTGGTGGAGGTTAATGTTGCCTATTATTGAATACTGGTGGAGGACGGCAAATCTGTTATTGAATGCAGGATGAATAAAGGTTGACAGATTTTTTGATTTTTAAATTTAAGCAGGTGGTGTTGTAACGACTGATGAGCAGATCAATTTATGGTCAAATCCATGGTTTTCATGGTTCTATACTTTTCCTGCAACTGTAAATAAAATGACAAAGGAAACTAAATAATGCACTCATGGGACATGTCACCTAAATTAATACATGACCATTAAGTGGCATGATTTCTTTCTTGATTGGAATGCAAACAGAAACATTAGCTGGTAATTTTCCTCTCCACTGTTATTTATAAAGCTCCAAAAAAGGCAAAAATGTTAAATATTAAATATTTTTAATGGTATTTTTAAATATATATATATTTTTTTTATGGTATTTTAAATTACATTTTAATTTAAAAAATATATTTTATCATTAAATTAAATTAATTTTAATTTAAATAAATTCAATATTTTTACTACCGAGTTCATTATAATTAAAAAAATAATACAACCTAAAAAAAAACATAAAACATAACACAAAATGACAAAGTCATATGTAAGAAAACACACTGGAAGATACACCAGGGATTAGCTGAAAATCTTGCCATTCCCATTCTCGTATCTCTTTCACCTTTGGGTTTAATGTGCACTAGTGTGAATTAGATTTGATGGTAATGGTGAGATTTTAAGGGGTTTTGCTTGTTGTGTCTTGCCCATTTTTATTGCATGGAAAAAAGCATCTTGAATCCTTTAAAACATTTCCTTTTACGTTCTGTGGAAAAAAAGAAAATCATACATGTTTCAAATGGCATAAGACTGTCTAAATAAACATGTGTCAGTAAACTACTTCTGTGATGGGAGAACGCAAATGTAAAAATGGGTTTTCAGTTTGGACTTGAATCTGACTGATTTTGGGACACATCTGAGAGCTTCTTGAAGTAGGTTCCAGCTGCGGGCAGTTTAGTAGCTAAACGCTGTTTCATCATGTTTGAAAAGAACCCTAGGCATTGCACTAAGCTGACCTGAATCGAATGATCTAAGTGGTGCATTAAGTTTAAATTCGGCAAGCATATCCATAATGAGTCACCTATAAATAAGTAATAGCACTTTAAAAAAATCTATTTAATGTGTGACTGGAAGCCAGAGCAAAAACCTGACGTCTGGGTTGATCCTGACCAGCATTCGTGTTTGACCTGCACCATCCTGGGCCTCAAATCTGAAACCCCATTAGACATGCCAACATTTCTCTAACGGGAAGCTGACATCGCATGAAGTATCAAGATTTGAACTCTCACCGCTGTTTCCCAGGGTAAGTGGACTGGTCATCCACCGCTCGATCAAACTCTGTGCACAAGTCATCCAGCTCCCCGCGGTCCCCAAACGCTCCCCACTCCATGTTCACACACATACGACCCTCATCTCCATCCACCAGCTCAACGTTTGACATCTCCTCCATGTAGCATGTGTTAGTCCCTGTGCCTACAGGATGAAGACAGAAACGCACTGAAGCATGCAGTTCACAAATACAAATACACTCTCTCACACATAAATATCAGGAATGATATCAGATGCTGTACACAAATACATTTACAATGTCCCCGAAAATTATCTAAGATATCAACACTAAACTTAAAAATATAAAATACCAGAGGCGGCATTTAATTTGACAAAATAACAGAAGTACAGGTCTGAATCAAAATACTTTTGACAATTGAAAATGAAGACAAAAAAAAAAATATTTGAAAACCGGTGTGACTTTAAAGGAACTGACTTCATACATCCTCTAAAAATCACCTTGACACCAAGTGCTTAAGGCTACTTGCTCAAAAATGTGAAGAATGTCAAATACTACTACACACACACACACACACATATATATATATATAATTATATTTCTGAATTAATTATTATTTGTTTTATATATATATATATATATATATATATATATATATATATAACTCTAATTATAAAAATTAAGATATAAATGTATTACATTTGTAAATCAAATAATGAATTTGATCATTCTGTGCCTAATAATTATTTTATTTTACACTGTAAGTTACATTATTAATATCTATGTCCTAAATTATTCACTTTAAATTGTTAAATCCTCAAGCTTTTATTTTATAGGAATACTGGTGAAATACTGTAAACTTTTATCCACAGAAATGTTGGAAACTGTGCAAAATAAAAAAGTGTGAATGAAGTAATTCTTAAGTAAAGAAATAAGGTGAACATAACACATACTGCATTCCCAAAATGCATGTGAAACTGCAGTTCAATGGAGTTCATGAAAATCAGCATTTACTGTGAACCGACACTGAAAACATGGAAAGCCCTGTAACAGTTCCACTCTGAAACACGCTGCAAAATAGACTAGTTAGAAGTTTTTTTTTTTATTAAATAGCGATGTTTGATTTGATTATCCCACTAAGCTAAACTGCAATTTCAGTTCTATTTCAATTAATTGTACAGCCACATTTATTTATTTTAATTTTAAATTTGATTTAATTATTTGCTTTTCATCAACTCACACAACCCCTGCAGTTCCCTCAGGAACCCCCATTTGGTAAACCGTGCTCTAATGCTATGACATGCATATTTAAATTAAGAAGACATAGGAATTTAAATGTATATTGAGGCAACTAGACAATCACTAAATCTTATGAACCATGAAAGTCATCTACACAAACTAATCAGATGCACGGAGGCCAAGAAAATCACACTCACCGACAATGAGCCCCACTTCACACTGTGGGTCCTCGTACCCACATGTCATCATTGTGCCCACGGTGTCATTCACCACAGCTACCACATCCAAATCAAATTCCTTTGAGAAAACAAAAGTAGACAGACAAAGAGAGAGGGATTACCAGCAAGGCAAAGCAAATGAACCATGACTGCCTTTCAGGACACGATTCATCTGACTGAACATCTACTAATTACATCTTGCCATAAAAGACAAGAGTAATTGTGGCTAATAAGTGCAGAAATTGCTTTTGCAGCACTTTAGTGGGCGGTAGTGCTGACCTCACTGCGATGGATGGCGTCTTTCAGCAGCGCGGCCACATCCTCTCCCTCACACCCGGAGGCCTTGAAGCCCTTCGTCCACTTTATCAAGATACCCTGTGAGGAAGACAGATGGGAATATAGTGGACACAGGACAACATTGTAGATAAATGGTTCACTGCTTTCATTGCTTCTGTGTTTGTAATTTCAGAAAAATACACCCAGACATTAGCTAAACCTGAGGGACATCATCTTAAAGAAAAATTGTTTATAAAAGAGTAAATAATATCTGTGCCACTTTCTATAATAGGGTACAAATTGATGTCCCATTAAATTTTTTTTAAAAGCAATATAGGTAGGAACCCCACCACTAATGGTTTATGGTTTAAATGACCTTGGTCATTTAAATGGTTTAAATGACCTTAGCATGAAAATTTGTTTGTTTGAAACTACCCTTAAAATAATGATTTTGACTTCTCACATGAGAGATCTTGATTACTTTCTGTAATCCAATCTTTCTGACAACAATTACACAAATGTCAACATTTGACAATAATTGTTAATTGTTACTGTTATTTTATTGTAAACACACACAAAGTACTGTGTATGTATATATATATATATATATATATATATATATATATTGTGACGAGCGTCCCGAGCTCACATCAGCGTTGCCCTGGAAAATGGAAGAGGAACACCTCATCACGGGCTGATCGGTCACAGCTGAGAGTCATCAGCCCGCGGCCAGATAAGCCGCGTGAGGCCCGACGGAAGGGAAGGACATACTCTCCCAGAAGCTGAAGTCTAACGTGTTCTCTCCTTTACATTCCAGAAACCAGCCCGTGACCAAGCAGCCCAAACACGAGCGCCGCACGGACTCACCGACACTGGAACTCGCGCACGGAGAAGCACCGACTCACCTCAGGACACCGCACTCACTTGAGCACTTTACCTGTGAATAAATCCACCCTCCGGGGTATTTATTTGAGCTCTCCTTGTCGCATGTTCCTTCCACCCCGTTACAATATAAATATATATATATATATACACATACACACATCATCGTTAATATTAATGACAGATAAACAGATGATACATATGACACATAATTTAACATTGAAAAAAAAAGTTGCATTTCAATTAATCCTTTGATTTAAAAAAATATATATAATAAAAAAATGTATGAGTTTAAGTCCCATTTTGTACCCTATTTGTAGAAGCACACTTTACAGTGCTAAAAATCACCGAAAAGTCTTATTTACCTACATTTGAAAACAAAACAATTCTATAGTGTGTCCTCATTTAGATAAGCAGAGATGTCTATGTGAATATGTGTGGACTTACCTGGTCCAGTCGGGTCTGATGGCAGGGAAACGAGAAGGTAAAACCCAGAGGCAGCGATGCCCCCTTCATACCCATATACTCCAGGAAGTCAGCAATACAGTGCACTATGTGATCAAATAACTGCAGAGGACCATTCACGCACAAACAGACACACACACACACACACACACACACATACACACATATACACAAAGGTGAAGATAAAGGATCATTCATGCACAAAGTGCATTATCTAGGATATGTGCTTATCAAAACGAGCTCAACAGCAGTCTCACTGGAAACCACACAAGTACAAGAAAACAGGTTATGCTGCAACACGTGTCTGGATGTGCAGTTTCATCCTACTATACACCACTATGTATGCAGCTGGAAGCTGGATCGTACTGCTCGAGTGCTGTGCGGTGACCACTTTCAAATAAAGTGCAATTCACATTCAAAAACATGGATAGCTTTACTTAGGAGGTCACATAGTATGTCTAGTGCGCTTATCCTGTAATCCAAGACACACAATACCATCATATATTAGGGCCATTTTCAGTTAAATTTGGAAGCTCAGTTAAGAAAAAAAATAAAATCAACAATTTTTCCACTGCAACGTAATCATCATGCAAATGAAAGGAATCCACCCTGTACCCAATTCGTATCTTGAATGGGTGTTAATGAAGTGGAGTATGATTAGAGGGCATACCTCCTCGCCGGTGCCCTGGGTAATGTCTTGGGGGATGGTGTAGATCTTATTATGCATCTCCACACTCCGTCTTTTCCCACTTCGAACGCGCACCAAAAGCACCCTGAAGTTTGTGCCGCCCAGATCCAGGGCCAAGAAGTCGCCACGCTCTGTAGAACATTCACAATAGATTCAGAAACCGTAACAATTTCTCTCATACACACACACACACACACACACATTACAACACACACTCTCTCGTTCAGACACGCACCCACACACCAATCAACTTTCTGGACTGTTTTGGAACGATATAGTTACATAGGTAGTATGGAGTAGATACAGAGGGGTAATTGATTTGTATCTCATAACAGTGAGGGTTTTACATATACTAAAGTTTATCTTTTTTTTTGCCCTATATTGGTCAATAAAGTTTTGGCCCTACAGTATATTTAGATTAGTCACGATTCTTCTTTTGTTTCTCCATCTCACTTGCGTTTTAGCTGTATCAGCGCACTAACAAGGGGCTTCAAAAGTCTGAGACCACAATGAAAACAGAATTTGTATGTAAACGTGCAAATAAAGTTTTAGAATAAAATAAAAAAAGAAACACTTTTAATATAAAATATGAATAAGACATATTTAAGATCACTAAGTAAGTACACTAACAGACTCATCAGAAAGGTTTGGGTTGGCAAGAGATTTTTGGAAAAAGTCTGTATTTATTGGATAAAAATACAAAACATTTAAATTAGTTTTAAAATGTAATTTATTCCTGTGATGGCAAATCTTAAATTTCAGCAGCACCTTCAATGTCACTTGATCCTTCAGAAATCTTCATTCAGATCCCACACACACACACACACACACACACACACACATATATATATATATATATATATACATATATATATGTAGAGACAAACACACAAAACAGCAAGTATGTGTATTTATGTATGTGTACTGTATATATAAATATAATTACACACACACACACATGCATACATAAACGGTATCTGCTCACAGTTTTATACGATTTGTCTCTGCCCACAAAAACAATTATGCATGGAAAACATTCTCAGAAATTGACGTCATTCTAAGCAAGCTTGAATCAAAATATGATGTATTATGCAATGCAATTTATATTCAAACACTTTCCCCATCTTCCTTGATTTTTTTGGCAAGATGGAATGACATTTTATATATATGTAGAGACAAACACACAAAACAGCAAGTATTTGTATTTATGTATGTGTACTGTATATATAAATATAATTACACACACACACACATGCATACATAAACGGTATCTGCTCACAGTTTTATACGATTTGTCTCTGCCCACAAAAACAATTATGCATGGAAAACATTCTCAGAAATTGACGTCATTCTAAGCAAGCTTGAATCAAAATATGATGTATTATGCAATGCAATTTATATTCAAACACTTTCCCCATCTTCCTTGATTTTTTTGGCAAGATGGAATGACATTTTATTTTGCATGCCCATTTGTGATCTGATCTTCAAAGCGGTTTCTGTTATTTGCTTCCACGAAGCACACAAACATTAATTTTCACAGCTGTTTTCATATCACATTTTATAGTGGCAACAACTGTCAATGGGTTTCAAAGAGAACAAAAAAAACAAAACAAAAACTGATGCATCAAATCCACCACAGCTTGTACAAAGTCCACATGCATGTCCAGAATTCAAATATTTAAAAAAATAATAAGAAAAAAACATAAGCACGAAAGAAAGAGATTGTTTAGTTCTTTAAGAAAAAAAGAAAACAAAAGGAAGAAAATAAAGCTATACATTTTCTTTAAATAAATAAATGTTATGATGGTGTTTTTGAATCCTGAACGGTTTACAGTAATTTCCGGTCTGTTCTTCATACTTGGCTATATCATATTATATGATTCAGTATACCTATATCATATAACATATGACTTCAGGAATATAGTGCATGAGTCATTTGGAGCACAATTATGGTGCTTTCATGCTCATTATGAACTGTTGCTCTATGAAAAAGTGCAACATAAGGGAAAAGGTATAAAACATTTCTACTTTCACAAAAAACACTGTTTTGTACAGAGCCCATAAAGTGACATGGTGGTGGGAGGAAATTTTTTTTTTAATCTTTTGCATTCTCTCGCAAAATATTTGTGTTCCCCCGAGATACTTTGCGTTCACCTGGGGGGAATGCAAAAGATTTGAAAAAAAAATTAAAAAACTTTTCCTCCCACCCTGTATTTTTCCAACACCATGTCCCTTTAGGGGCTCTGTAGTTTTGGAACATGAGGGTGAATAAAAGATGATAGAATTTACATTTTGGGTTAATTAAAATAAGTTAAAACTCTGTGATTCTCACTCTAACCTGTTCCATCCGGTGTGGAGCGTACAAAGGTGGGCAGCATTTTGACAGTTGCCGTGGCATGTGTTTTTTTAGCCAAGCCTCGGTTCATCTCCTCCTCCATTCTTTTCTTCACCTCCAGGAGTTGATCCCGACTGAGACGCAGTGTGTTCAGAATACGCTGACGCTCTGCATGCTGCTTTGCCAATCGGTGTGCCACAGCTGTAACCATGGCAGCCCCCTTACCGCTGCCATCCTCAGAGCGCAAGAAACGCACGTCACAGTCAGGCACCAATAACCGCACCATCTTATTCAGTCGGCGGGCAAACCTTCAGGAAAAAGCCAGAGAACAAACAAGTGTGTGGGTGAGAGAGAAAAGGGCCCAAAAGCAAAGAAAGAACAAGCAAGCAAAAGGTGAATGATGCACAAAAGGAGAAGGAAAAGGTGGGGCACAGGGGAAAAAAATAACGTTAGTTTATAACAAAATAGGAGGTTGAGTGGTACATTTAAAAATCGGAGAATTACTACTCTGGGCAGTGACGCAATGTTTGCAATTGTAGTTTGGTGATTCTTCACTTACACAAATTACATAATAAACGATTCAAAAAAATATATAAAAATAGCATGAACGTTAAACATTTATCATGTCCTGGAGGTTCTGATCATGGCCTTCATCAGACTACAAGTGGTTTTTGAAATAATGTGTGGTGGTGTGGATTTGTGGCATTTTGTGTGATGGTAATGACATTTTACATTTTTGTAGAAAAAGTAAGCCTTGGTCTTACATTACATTACATAAAACAAAATAATGAATTTTAATAAATTAAATTTACTTTTTATTAAATAAAATAAAACGGTTAAGTCTAATAAATTATAATACAATTTAATAAATAAAATTTTAATTTAAAATAAAATAAAATAAAATGTTATTTAAAAAGTGTAATAAATTATAACAATGTAATTTAATAAAATGTATATTTTATCAAATAAAATAAATAACAAAAAACAAAGATATAATCAGTCCTTTAAAACTATACTGATTCAGCCTAGAGGACAAAAGGTTTTGAACATGATTACATAAATTTCCTTACTGTGAAGAGTTATTTTCAGAACATATGATTCAATAACTCATTTAAATTAGTAGAAGCACATGAAACTGGAATGAAGATATTTTGGGCAAAAAAAAAGTCTGTTGTAGATCTGCATATAGGGGTAAAAACTTCACAGAGTATTTCTTCATTTCAGTCTCGTTATTGTTGACTTTCCCTTTAATGAAATCTGTCAAAACTTGAAAAGTTGTCAACTTTGCTCTAAATCTACCTGCAGCTCATGCCTCACATACAGTATGTGAAGTCATTCATATTTTTGACGTTTCACAACGTAACAAACCCAGAGCTTTTAAATCAGAAAAGAATATTTGCCTCTAGATACAGGTGCCACAGAAACGTATCACAACCTAAATGAAGCTCACTCAATGATGTCTGTGCACATGACTGGCTTGAGGTGGCACTTGTACACAGCGAATCAACACAGGCGCATCTTGAGAGAGAAGTACACTCGTCTCTGAGAGTGCCATCCACACCTTCAGGAAATTTTCAGAACGTGATGTGTTTCTACGAATGCATGAGTTAGCAGCCTGGGTGAGGAAAGCTGTGAATCCAAGTCATGCTGGACTAAAATAGACCAACTAATTAAAGTTGATGCTTGCAGTTAGCTTTAATTTCATAAAACATAAGCCATGCAAATAAGTAGTCTGTACAGCACCGAGGTAAAGTTATTATCGAAAGTATTACTAAATAAACATCTCCGAAAACTTAATGCTGTTGAAGTCTCACAGCAGGGCTTAAAAACAAAAGACATGCAATATTAAATACATCATTTTATAAGTACAGTACAATTCTGCCATTTATCTTTTAAAAGTATAATTTTTACATGTACTAAATATTTCTTAAATATTATTATATAATATTTATACTTATCATATATTTTATATGTAAATTATAATTTTACCATTTATAAATTTGGTATATATGTATGCATGTGTGTATGTACATATTTATATAAAATACACATACATACATATATTTTATTTCAATTATATAAATATAAATAAATATGCATTATGCAGAAAAAATTACGACACAACATAAATTTTTTGTCAGTTTTAACCCACTGAAAGTACCAAGACTACCTCAGCATGACAAGTCTAAAACATTGACAAGCATGATTTGCAAACAAATGTCACGAAACAAAGTTTGCAAGCCATATAAATACATATGCATGATCAGAAAATCTAAGATGTAGTGCTGACCCAATATAACAAGACAAATGGAACAAAACTCTCTTCTATCGATATCGTTGCGTAGCACCCATTAGATGATCCCTAGCTAATTTTTCAGCCATTTTTCAGTCATCAATTTCCATAGTCATTGAGGAATCAGAGGGAATCGATGCATGAAGCCGCGTCTCAGCAGGTGGTTGTTAAAAGCCCTAGCAATTCAACTCCCTGCTGCGCGCTTATGGCCTTGCCAAACTCTCTGACAACATCCAGGAAGAATCTTTTATTGGTGAGATGGGCTTTCGGCAGCAAGTTTATGAAATGAACCTGTCCTCATCTAAAATTATGCCACAGTAATTATTCTTGGCCAGTGCCAAAGAACAATCAAGAACGATCAAGTGCAAACAGAACAATGCTTTTTTTTGTGTAAATCTTGTTTCAAGAATTACTTCTGAATCTGCACAAAAAGACTTCCTCAACAACCCCCCCCAAAAAAACAAATACACGTTTACAGGGTGTCACTTCTCAAGCTGCGATACATTGGTACCACACCATGCCATGGTATTCTTTGAAGTACATTAGAGTGCTATGTAAATACCATTGTATGTGAATATGGTAATCATTTAGTGCCATAAAAAGCACACATTGGTACTGGACACTGGACTCACTGTGGGTGGTTTTTGTAGACTGATCCATCCACGCCGACAGTGGTGCGCAATCTCTCTGCGGCTTTGTTATCTCGAATCTGCCGTAGGACAGCCGCTAGCGTGGCAGCACAGAGGTGGGCCGCACGCGTAGACACAATCTGACACACTCGCTGCGTGGCCACGCAGTCTTCGGGGGACGGGTCTAGTCCGAGTCCTCTCAACACCTGCTCTGCACTCACCAGACCCTCGTTATTCCTGCAGAAGAGAAAGTCATTTCTGATGAATTTGGAGGTTTGCATGAATATCACCTTAAGGGCAGACACTTGTACAACATCACTTGTCTTTAGCTGTTGCAAAATAGTTTGCTTTCATATTTTGAATGTTTCTTGGACAATTTTTAATTTTTTTTGGACATTATCATTCCAAAGTTTGGGTTCAATAAAATCTTTATTAAAAGAATTAAAAACTTTTATTCAATGAGGATGCATTAAATTGATCAAATGTGACATTAAAACAATTGGTGGCTGACTAAATACTTTTTTGCCCCACTGTATGTATGCATGTGTGTTATGTACATATTTATATAAAATACACATACATACATATATTTTATTTCAATTATATAAATATGCATTATGCAGAAAAAATTACGACACAACATAAATTTTTTTGTCAGTTTTAACCCACTGAAAGTACCAAGACTACCTCAGCATGACAAGTCTAAAACATTGACAAGCATGATTTGCAAACAAATATAAATACATATGCATGATCAGAAAATCTAAGATGTAGTGCTGACCCAATATAACAAGACAAATGGAACAAAACTCTCTTCTATCGATATCGTTGCGTAGCACCCATTAGATGATCCCTAGCTAATTTTTCAGCCATTTTTCAGTCATCAATTTCCATAGTCATTGAGGAATCAGATGGACATTATCATTCCAAAGTTTGGGTTCAATAAAATCTTTATTAAAAGAATTAAAAACTTTTATTCAATGAGGATGCATTAAATTGATCAAATGTGACATTAAAGACTCCTACAATTTTCAATTTCAAATAAATTTTCAAATAAATCAAAGGATCCTGAAAAATGTATCACGGTTTCCACAAAATTATTAAAGCAACCGTTTTCTACATTAATTTCCTTGTCACCAAATCAGCATTTTAGAATTCTTTCTGAATGATTTCTAATGGCTGAAGATTCAGTTTTGTTATTACAGATATACATATATTAAGTTAGAAATTATTTATTTTAAATTGCATTAATATTTCACTATAGTAATGTTTTTATTGTATTGGTGATCAAATTAATGCATCCTTGGTGAGCATAAGAAACTTTCAAAAACCAATCCAAAAAATTCTTACTGACCCTTTTTTGAACGGATCCAAAAGTCTGATATTCTCAGATCTAATCATACAAGAATGAAATCAGTCATTAGGTTTTATAGAAAAACCTTGTGATGTGTGTTTCTGTGTACTATTCTTGTTAAATAAAAAGAGCAACAAATAACACTGAAATCTCCAATCAAATCATTATGCTGATCTTATCTGTAATAAGTAAAAAATATTTCCACTTGTCGTCAGACTTTTGGATCCTAAAGTAGATATACATAGACACATATATATATTGTCCTTGGTAACAAAAATTAAAAACACAGTTTTTTTGGGTGATGTGATATGCCAAGATCGTGCATGCAAGCTAACATTATTACTTCAGCATCTGATTTAATTATATTTTCATTATCTACAATTAACAAATATTATAGATAATGAAAGCATGTGGCACATTCCAAGATGGCGGCATGTCTTTTTGTTGTGTTTGTTGAGCATGTGGTTGTCTAATTTTGTATTGTTTTCGTTTGTTTATACATTTTAAGACTCTACTTTTAGATATAAAAGAAGAATTCTAAAGGTTTTAGAAATTGAACAAGGGACCGTGTCAGATTTTGGACTTTCTGAAGCGGATCTTTCTCAACTGGATCTATGATGTGATCTCTTTTGGCCTTAAAGAGTATCGCACCTTAAGGGATGACAAAGACGGGCTTTGGATCTTCTGGAGCTTTTCCCTAATTCGGATCCATGATGTGAGATCGTTTGGCCTTGATGAGTACC